TGTCATGGTTATTTGGCAGACTACGCTCCCTGAAAGAAAAGAGGGCAAGATCTCATATCCTCCAGGAGCAAACACCTTAAAAATCACTCGTGGGTTTGCACATGCCTTGTGGCTTTGAGGAAGCAAATGTTTGCCATGTTACTGCTCCCAACATTTCTTTTCCAATTAGCTGGAGTTCGTGGCAAAAGGGTCTTCTTGCTACATACACAGTGTGGACAAAGTCAAGGAGATTGATCGAAGAAGCGAAAATGGAAAATGGAAGCGTTTGACTCTGAAAGCAAACCGCCACAATGAACCAAACGGAGTGGCTACGTTTTGTTTTTTCCCTTGTCTTCTATTACCCAACAGGTAAAGGGTCTTGGATACATCCTTTTGAAACATGGAGAGTGATAATAAAAGAGCGTTTTCATGCTGAAAGCATAACAAAAATCGCAGATGTGACTATTCATCTTAGGAAAGACTGATACAAAAGGTGGGAGTCTTCTGTGGGAAGTAGGTCATTATGCTGGACTTTGTTTGAACAGAATCCTCTGGGGATGCTGTCTCCTTTTTAATTTTTTTTTAGCTCAGTTTTCCCAGCTGTTTTTCAGCTTGTGCATAGTCTAGTCCAGCCGCTAAGTTGCTCCAAGGTGGCTCTTCTCCAGGAGAGTAACACAAGGTCCAGAGAGACCCGATTGCAGTTAGTCACATTTATCTGGGTTCTGTGGAGCCATGCCGTTTGCCGCTTACAAAGTCTCTTTGATTTTCCAAAAGAAGGTCATCTGTAGCACTCCCTCAGCTTCCAGATACCCAAAGTATCTGGGGGGGGGGGGGCTCTTATAAAAATGCAGAATCCCACATCTTTGGTGGGAATGAGCATCCTTGCCTCCTTAGTATCTCTGGCACACACTCTACCTATAACAGACAATTTAAATGCAATAGATAAGATTATGCACAATTGGTTCAGCAAAGGCGTGTTTTCATTTGCTAACAGAGCTGGGTTTCCCACCCTTCTCGCCTTCTAGGTGAGAGACCCTGATGGCTGTCATACATGTCACCCTTCCTCCCAGGCCGTTTCCACCGAGATTTAGAAATTCTTCGACTTGCCTTCTGGGACTTTGTACTGTAACCCTTGCTTCCACAAAATAAAGGAGAAGAGGAGTTGAGGACTCCCTCACCGGCACCCACACCCACAGATGGTTGCGCAGAAACTGTCCTATCTGTGCCATGCTGTAGTCAGGTATCTGTCAGAGAAGCCTCAGCAGCCACCTTCTGGTCAGTGCTTACTCTGTCTCAGGACTGCACATTCTTGGTCCTGACGGAGGAGGCAAAGCCCAGCACTAACAGCACGTATAAAACTAACCCAGCGAAGGCAGATAATCCATCACCTTTCATAAGACAAGCTGATAGTTAACGGTTTCAGTGCATTAAGTAGTTAGGAACATATTAACTGTGATTTTGGAAAAAAAAAAGGTTCATTCTGAGTTTATGATGATCTCATTTTATAGAAGGAAGAAAAAGGACGGATTTCTGTTTTATTGAGCCCTAAACCTAATGCTTGGAAGAAAGGCCACACAGTTCTGGGAATTGATGAAGCGGGTGAAGCCTTGTACTAGAACATCATTCATCTGCCAGTCAGAGTTGACATTGTCATCCAAACCTGCCCACACAGCAGAGACAGGCAGAGACCATATATACAGGTCCAGAGGTCATGGTTTCATCACTTAGGAGCACAGCACAGAAATCTGAGGCAAGTGCTCAACCACAAACAAAGGACACATCTGGTGTGCTGGCTGCTCCGACCCTCTTCTCTAGTGCCTGCTCTGGTTCTTCACCTGAAGATGTGTTATCGCCTCACAGGAGTCAGAGCTATGTCTTTAACCCACCCACCCTCATACCTGCAACGTAAATGCAGAGCTGGGGGTTGGGGATACTCCTTTCCCTCTCATCTCAGGCCTCAAAGTCTCCAAGGTTTCGGACATTTTTGAAACTTCGTCTCAGAGGAGACACTCGTGGGGACCCCGGGAAAGGGATTTATTTGTACTTTTAATAAGACAGGAACGTTGAATTGCAGGAGTTTGATGTGTAAACGGACTTGGACCTAGTGGTTTAGGCATATCCCAGGATATGCCCATGTGTCTACTTGGGATAACTTCAGGGGACTATCCCGACTTTCTGACCACCTTCTATTTCTAGCCATGCTTTGAGTTGGCCCTGTGCTGGACTGGAAACTCTTAGCCTTGACTCTGGTCACTCTTTTCAGGCGGGTGCTGTCAAGGGCGATGGCCAAGCAGGCTTTGAAACTTAACTGCAAGTTTTAAAGCAGAGTGTGAAACCCACTTAAGAAATCACAACTAGCACGCTTATTTTCAGAAAAAAAAATTAATAAAAGTTTCAGGCTGCATTGTTTACAGAAAAAGCATTAAATGGTGGACTATTATTTACATCTCTGTGTATACATGTGTGCCATGATTTGCAATGTAAAATGTATTTTTTTATTTGGGATCAGTGTCTGAAATGTTTAATACTTACTATTTAGTTCTTGACTTTGAATAGCACAGGTTAAGAGCATGGATACTGTTGGATTTTGAATCTTGGCTCTAACCCTTGCTAGCTGTGTGACATTAGGTAAACTGCTTAACTTCTCTGTTTTATATTTCAGTATTTCACATATGTGAAAGAAGATTTAAAAAAAAATGTAGCTACCTGACTGGATCAACATGAGGATTAAGTATAACAGCTTTGTACAGTGCTTAAAACCTTGCCTGGCAGTGTCTTATGAATGTTTGTGGGTTAAAAAATTGTGACCAAAGGGAAATTTTTTTTTTGCATAATGAACCAAGGCAACAGTATTCCTTTTCTATGGCTATTTATAGTCTAGTATGCACATATGTGTATCCTCGATTAAAAAACTGCCTGTTCTGAGTGGCATTCTCCCAAGCAGACCTCAGGATACCAACCACAGCGCCATTGCTCACTTGTTGTATGACCTTTGACCAGTTCTTTGGCTTGACAGACACGGTGTCTTCATCCCTAAACAGTTACCAACAGAATGTGTCCCACCCGGTGCCCGCCGGGACTTGGTGAGGCCATTCCCAGAAGGAGCTCCGGCTCTGGCTCTAGGAACTGCTGCTGTTTCTGCTGTTAGGATTCAGACCATGTCCTTCCGGCACCCTTCCCGAACCGAGAGCCAATCCCTCCTCTTTGATGTGAATGGCTTGCTTAAATCTTTATTTCAGTCCCCTGTGCTGAATCAACCACATAGGGGCTCAGATAAAGGCCAGGACTCTATGAAGGGAAGTCATTGTGAGGCCCAGGGGGTGGATTCAGACCGCCCCACTGCGCGCTCTTCAGCCTCTCCATCACCACTTAGCTAAGTCTCTTGAATGTCCTTTTACCTCAGCGGGTTTTCCCATCCCCTTGGATCATTCTCAAGTGTCACAATGCAGCTCTGACAGCTGTCTGCAGCCAGAGGGTCACATCCTACTGCTTTTCCCTTCAGAGGCAGTACAAAAAGTGTTCAGGACAAAGCCGCCTGTCCAGACTAGATAGGTACCCCCCCACGCCACTCCCCCCCCCCCGTTATCACTTGTAAATACTTGGGTAGCATAAAAGGGCTCATTAGCCAATGGGGCTTTCAACTCCAGTCCTTTTCTTAAGGACCCTTGGCAAACCTGTTGTGACAGAAATGTAAAATTCTGGAGGACTCCTGGGCTTGAAGATCTGCAATGGCTTCGCTGTAATTGGCCCCCTCTTCTCCCACGGCACACAGTATAGCACTTACCAGAGCTTTTAAACGTGAATAATGGGGCGATATTATGCAGTATCAATCTTTCCCCCGACCACAAGCTCCTCAAGGGCAGGGGACCTGCCGTATTCATCTTTGTATCCCCTGCAACCAACTGGCACACATCTCAATCAACGTCTACAGAATGGAAGCTGGCTGAATTTATACCCCGGGTCACAGTGTGGAGCTCAGATGACTCGGGAGCTGAAGGCAAATAGAAATCATTTATTTCTCACTGCCTAACTCCGCCCTGGCTTCCCAGGGATTCAAGACACTACAAAGGTTAAGGTGATGGTGTTGGTGCCTTTGGTGGAAGATCTCCTTGTTCTTAGAAGGGAGGAAAATGAAGCCAGGTCCAGCGTGCTGCGGTTTTGCTATCTAGGGCTAGAGAAAGCGGGTCAGAAGGAATGTGTCTTTACCCAGCCAGCAGAACCGCAGACAGCTGCTAGGGCCGTTCTTAACAAGCTTGGTCCTAAACACAAGGCATCAGCTGTTTTCTTCCTTTGCTACAGGCGCGTGTCTTTGACTTAACTTGAGTTTCTCAGCAGAAATACATAAAATCATCTTTGGAGACCTTGGCTTGTGTTCAAGCTAAGCACTCTGCTGACTATTTTGCTCTAGTCTTATTGCCAGACAACATTGTCATTAATGTTTCCCTTTACAATCCAGGAAACTGAGGTCCCAAGAAGTTTAACCAGAAAGCCGGTTGGAGATCAGCTCCGTTCGGACGCCCTCGCTCCATCACCGACTTCACTCTGCACACTGGTGGGAGCGTGAGCGCGCGCGTGAGTGGCCGTGCGCTTCTGTTTCTCCGCGAAGCCCCCTCCGGCTCAGTTTCCCCCGATTTCACTTTTTGGAGACCAAGTCCGGTTCTCCAAGGTTTGACCTCACTCGGCCATCTCCCTCCCGCGTCCCAAGGACGGACGGCCACTCCCTCGACCACTTCGGAGTCCTAGCCCGGGCTGAGCCTGCGTGCTCCACGCCCGCCCCACCGAGTCCCGCGCCGTGGGGCTGCCCCGCGCACCCAGAGCTCCCGTGGGATCGGGTGGCCCCGCGCCTGGCCCCACCTCCCCTACCTGACGCCCGCGCGGCCAGCGGCTCCGTAGCCTCCGCCCACCGGCGCGCCTGCGCTGCCATTGGTTCCGCGGGCTGCCCGTCTCCTCCGCTCCGTCCCGGAGGCAGGTTTAGCCAGAGAAGCCGCAGTCCCGGCGGCTCGGGCGCAGCGCCGAGCGCGGATCGCGGCGGGCATGGCCCTGCGCGCGCGAGTCCCTGTCAGCAGCCGAGCCACGGCGGCCGTGAACTTGGGGACGCGTTCCTGCGGCCCGGCCTCGGTCATGTAGTCGCCGGCGGCGCTCCCCGCAGCCCGGGAGCCGCAGCGTGATCCAGACGCAGCCCAGCAGCCCGGGCTTCCCCGGGAGGCGCCGAGCGCCCCGCCACCCATCGGGTGGCACTTCGGGCCGGAGAGGGACATGGGGGAGAAAGTTTCCGAGGCGCCCGAGCCGGTGCCCCGCGGCTGCAGCAGCCACGGCGCCCGGACTCTCGTCCCTCCGGCGGCAGCCGTGTCCTCCGAGGGAGCTTCCTCGGCGGAGTCGTCCTCGGGCTCGGAAACTCTGTCGGAGGAAGGGGAACCCGGCCGCTTCTCCTGCAGGTCTCAGCCGCCGCGGCCGCCGGGCGGCGCCCTGGGAACCCGGCTGCCCGCCGCGTGGGCTCCCGCGCGCGTGGCGCTGGAGCGTGGAGTTCCTGCCCTGCCGCTGCCGCCCCCCGGAGGAGCGGTACTGCCGGTACCTCGGGTCAGCAGCGCATCCCAGGAGGAGCAGGACGAGGAGGTGGGCACCGCCTATCCCATCTCGAACCCTCCAGGTCTCCTTTGCAGGGGCACCTCAGATTCCATTGCGTGCGCGCCGGTGTTTTGGAGAGGGGAAGGGGAACTAAAGGCGTTCTGTCACCAGCCCGGGATAGTCACGGTCAGGAGATTCTTTGGGTCCTTGACTTCTTGTGGTTGGCCCCGCGCGCTTTTCTACAGGGGCTACCCGACGGCGTGCTTTGGAAATGTCGCGGAGCCAGTCCCTTCCTATCTGTATCTGCTTGGGTTGTCAGCGTCAGGACGTGATCTGAAAGCTTGGCTCGTCCCCACAAACTCAGATCCGATTTCTAGAAGTGGGAGTGCTAACTCCTGAAGTCTTGGGTGGAGCAGGAGACCTGGAACGTAGGACGCGGGTGGGAGTGGCGGCTGTGGAATTGCACTATTGGGATGTCGGAGAGGAGGGTTCCCTGGGGCTGCCGGTGGATGGTTTTGGTGGTCGCTTTACCTTCCATCCTCGGGCAGAGGGAGATTCCCCACGCTAAGCCTTTCGTCGCGAAGGCATGAGCGCCTACTGCTCCCACTTGGACTCAGTGTCCAGAGGAACGCTGTAGGACACTGTGTAGAATGCATCTTTCCTTCTTCAGAGGACTTTGTCCAACCTCATTTCCTGGAAGGCTGTGCATCCAAAACTTGTGGTTCTCTTCCTGACACACCGAGTTTCGTGATCCCCTAGGTTGCTATATCTGGCTTGCTTTTTCTCTCTTCCTTCCTGCTTTGGAAGACAGGGAAGGAACATTCTCCACGTCTTTTAAGATTGTTTGCTTTGAATGTTTCTTGTGGGAGAAATCATCTTGATCAGACAAGGCCATAAATAAAACATAACCCTAGCATAGTCTCCTTTGTGAAATTAATTCCGCAGTGCCAGACTGGTATTTTTCCGTCTCTGCTGGGGTTAGCGCTGGGAAACAATTGCCTTTGTCCCTAGAAGGAAACAGAGCCTAGGGTCCTGGTACTAGCCCCCTGAGTACCCTGCTTGGAAGCAGGGGCCAGGTCTGGCTACAGCTAGCAGAGGCAAGTCCCAGCCTGGCGAAGATGGAAGGAACCTTGGCTGGTGGTTGGCCAAGGCTCTGGTGGTAACCATGACCCATTCCTGGATGCCTGTGGGATTGCAGGGATCTCAGACAGGTGTCTGGAGATCTGCTTTCTAGAACTCTTTTGCTTCTCAATTGTGAGATCTGGGTGCATTTCATTCCTTAGAAGCTCAGTTCTGCAGGCAGAAGTGGAGACTTTCAAGGTAAAGTTCACTCTGGCAAGAATGCTGTTTCTGACCTGGAATTTTGGATAGCTCTAAATTCCAGACTGAGCTTAGTCATTCCAGGGGTTTGTTGAGTGACACACCCACCCTAGATGCTGCCAGAGAACAGTGCAGATGGGTACATCTCTCTTTGATGTAGCGTGTTGCCTCTGGGTAACTGGCTATAAATGATTCTGTTTAGCTAATGTGGTATGCACAAGGTCTTGAAGATGTGGGGCTTGGGGGCTGGTAAGGTCTCATTTTTGATCCTGATCGTACAGTTGGTTCATCGTCTCCACTCCGAGTGACAGTGGTTTTCTTTCTCTGAAGTGGATATAACGATATCTTATTTCCTTGGCAAGGCACTGGAGATTGGTTGAGTGAAACATATTTTGTGCTTCCGAGTAGGATGGCCCAACGATTTTGGTCGCTGTTTGTGAAAGTTCTGAATCGGATGGAAAGAGAAAGCGCTGTGACAGTCTGTGGCATGCCTTAGCCTACCAGGGGATGGTGGGGGTGAAATCTTGATTTGCCCTGAGAATTTTGAAACAAAACCAAAGTCATGTGGCTCCCCTACTGCAGCAGCAGAGAAGTCATAAAACTTGGGGAGGGGCGTGAAAGCTTGTATATACACACTGGTGCTGGTGTGGTACACTGGGTGGAACTGTGGAATTGGGCCTTTTGTGGAATGGTGACTTTGGGAAATTAACAAAAACCCTTTGGCCTTTCCTTAGGAAAAGCACACATTTTAAATTACTGTTCTAGAAGGTTCAGGAATGGCAACTAAAAATGCCACCTTTCCCCATTTCCTGGGCACACCTGTGTTTGACTTCTTGATTCTGTCAGCTTGAGGAAGCATGTGTTTATGGACCATTGGACTCTGTCAGCCTCAGTTTTCTCACCTCTTAAATGGGAGCAATAGCAATAGCACTCTTGAGACATTTTATACACACCCATACGCATCATCTGATTTAGTCTCTGCAGAGTAGTTGATATTTAGCACCAAGTAAATATCAGTGAGCATTGACTTTTGAGTTTATTGCTTATAAAATTTTGTGAAATCAAACTTCAAAGTTGGGCTGACTTGTTATTTCGTTATTGCATAATTTATGTACTATCTACTTTGAGAGATTTTATTCCCGTTTTAAACAGATTTATTATTTTCAAATGATGTGCATGCTGTGTGTGTACATGGGTGCAAGTGTTAAAGTTGGAGTTACAAGTAGTTGTAAGCCCCCAACCCCCATGAGCTAGGAAGTGACCCCTGACCCTCTACAAGAGCAGAACTTGCTCTTGATTGCTGAGCGGTTTCTCCAGCTCCCAGCTTATCCCCCTTTACTGTTACAAGTGGGCAGCAGGACTCTTTCTGTTTATTTCAGGCTGCTGTTTTGACAAGCACCTGGGGCTGGTAGTGTTGTGCTATACTGTAGCAAGGCCCAGGCTAGAAAACGTTAAGAGGCTTAAGAGCAATTCCTAGAATGGAAAGGCATTCATTTCGGTTTAAAAACTGCTGTGTAGCTTGGGAGATTCATTTTTTCCCCCAGATAATTTTTAAAAATACTCACTCACTGTATTTGTTTTTAAAATACAAGGAAATTCTGGTTCCTAGCATGTTCCTACAATGCTGCTTTTTTTTTTTTTTTTTTTGACAGGCTTGTTAAAGCTGTTTTGAATATCTCTAGTAAGGGTCACAGTGTCTCACGGTCTAACTCACAACTAATACATGTGTACATGTACCAAGTCTCATACCTGTACATGTACCAGGTCTCATATGCTTCAGTCAGACCTGCCGGCTTTGGTGTCTTAAAAACTAGTTGAATGTTGGCATTGATAGACTCCTAAAATTTTAATTTGCTTCTATTATACTGTGCTGTTGGGATAAAATCTACAGTCTTACATGCGCTGGGCAAGCACTTAACACTGAGCTACAAACACAACCATTTTTATACTTAATATTAAACACATGAGAGTCAGAGCAGATGGGTGACTTAGTTTTGTTGAAAACAAAAAACACACAAACCGATGTGGCATCTGCCTTATGTCCTGGCTGCAAACCTGTGGATGTGGGGTTCTGTATGTTGATGGGCTATATGCTGCATTTCTGATCAACAATCTAGGTTGGAGGACTGACCCTTTCGCAGGGGTTGCCTAAGACCATCTGTGTATCAGATATTTACATTATGATTCATAACAGTAGAAAGATTACAGTTATGAAGTAGCAATGAAAATAATTTTATGGTTGGGGGTCACCACAACATGAGGAGCTGTATCAAAGGGTCACAGCATTAGGAAGGTTAAGAACCATGGTTCAAAAAAA